ATTTTAATTTCAGTTGGTATGTATTGCATTTTTTTTAAGTATGTACTACACAAGCTTTATCTACAAGAGTATGTCTTATGATAATAAAGCATATTATTATTATTATTAAACTGGTATATATCCAGACGACCTTTAAATAGCTAATGTAGTTCCTGTCTACAAGAAAGGTTGTAAAACCGACATTAATAACTACCGCGCATTATCATTACTCCCATCACCTGGTAAGATATTTGAACGTGTAATATATAATAGGCTCATCTCATTTATAAACTTGAATAATGTTCTGGATGTACATTGATTTCAGACAAAGAATGTCCACCGAATTAGCGATATTTAATGCACTCAAATTTGTTATTTACAAAGATTGCTGATAGCAAAAAAAACTTCGGTAGGCTTGTACTATGACCTCTCAAAGGTCTTTGACATGGTGAACCACAAAAACCTAAATAAGCTGGGGAAGTATGGTATAAGAAAGGGATGTGGGTTATGAACTCATTAAGTTATACCTATCAAATCGATCCCAAGCTGTTAACATAATGCATTTATAAAATCATTATATATCTAGTAGAATCAGAATTAGGTAGGGTGTACCTCAGGGCTCGATCCTTGGATCAATACTCTTCCTTCTATATATAAATGACTTGTGTGTACCAGTTCGCAGATGACACATCTGTCATTATCACAGGAAGTAATACATCAGAACTTTCAACCAAACCTTTACCAATGTCAAATAGCCAGAGGCAAATGTTTTCAAACTTGTAGTTTTTAAGAAATCGATTAACTGTGAGAAATATCTATATGTAAAACTCCAAAATAAGTCTATTCCAATATCTAATCACACTAAATTCTTAGTTGTCAGCATGGATGCGACCCACAGTTGGCAAACCCATATAAACTTATTAATAATAGATTGAGCTCTATTTGTGGTGTGATAAGATACTTGTGGAATTGAGTCTGAGAACATATTACAATGCCTATATGCAGTCACTGATTTCATATGATACCTATTATATTTTGAGGTTTTTCAGTATATCCACAAAAAATATTCAACACTGAAAAAAGAATTCTGAGATGTATTCTAAATCTAGATCAAAAAACCTCTTGCAAAGAGTTCTTTTGTAAACATAATATTTTGACAGTTTTGTCGTTGTACTACTTGGATCTAGTCTGCTTTGTAAAAAATATTCTAACCTGTTTCCCAGAAATAGTGGTCAATATTCGAATAACATGAATATTAACACCATGCATTGTAACGAACTGGCTATTCCCAGCCATACCTCTACATATTATGAAAAAGGAGATTTACTATCAGTATAAAGGCATATAAAGTCTATCCAAATCCAAGATAGAGTGGATGTAAACATTGACATGCTCTACGCACATGATATTGAAAATCCTAAGAATTGGCCAGGGTCGTATTCAGAACCAACATCTTGTTGATCGCAAATGCTATATCATACTTAGGAAAACTTTTTTATAATAACNTCGTCGACAGTCGATGTCTCAATTTCTTCCATCTCTGTCTTGAACACATTTAAAATCACTTCTTTCATCTCAACACTCAAATGTCTTTTTTTGGATTGTTTCCTGGCTGAACTCAGAGGATAGCTCACAGTGTCATCAGCAGTGTCTGTACTGGACATCTTGGAAAACAATTTTAAACAATATACTATAACGCACGCCACACAATCACGCAAACGATTGATTACAACCCTGTGCTGGTACCGAACTTGTACCAAGAAGACGAATTTACCAATGAACGCTGCCCTTTCCATCTGACACTGGGCGATCACGTGAATATCACGCTTCGGTTTTGTTTTGTTTCACTCTATCTTGGATTTGGATAGACTTTAGTTCTCTTCTGAAGGAACTTGAAAATATGACAGTCTTCAAGAAGTTTAGAAGTTCAGTCATTTATTAATTGAGACATAATCACTACTATTCGTTTAACTGCTAGCTAAGTTGAAATTTGCCACGAATATTTTTAATAAAAATAGCTATGTAAATGTTTATCTTGATTATTTTTGAAAAAAAAACTATATAATTTTTAACTGTAACTTGTCAATGATTAAACATTAATGTATCTTAATTTGAAAATTTAACCATTGGTAAAATCAGTACTTTTCTAGATTAAATGAGAACTTCTAGAAAGATTTACTTTTGCTGTGTCCACTATTGACCCTATTGCAATAAAATTATTATTATTATAAAAAGTTTGACTTGAATACATTTTCCAGGTTTAGTGGTGAAAACGATTCTTATCAAGACATAAAAAACGTAAAACTGATTCATAATAATGACTCCATGGATGGGCAGATGTTGGAAAATACTGAGTATATCATTCAAGATGCAAGCCAGAATCAAATACTTGAAGAGTTATCGGAATTACGAAAAATAGTCAGCAAGCATTATAAGATGGGTACAGAATATATGAAGCAATCAAATGAATTGCACTCGAAAATAGTTCATCATTTGGATGGAGCCAAGGAAAGAGAATGTCAGTCTTTAGAGTTTGAGGAAACTAGGATAGAACAACAGAATGAAGTTATCAAACAAATGAAAATACAAAACAGTTTATTACAAAAACTTTTAGAAAGACTAGGGTAAAACACCTAGGTATTGTTTGTTGTATAAAAAGATACATTTTTTAAAAAGTAAGTGTTATTGAATTTGAATTAAATTTTATATAAGTAGATTTGTTGTTGTAATTTCTCCAAAACCTAATTTCATTCAGTGAAGGCTTCAGTATTCCCACAAGGTGAAATATAAACTACTAAACTTTTTTTTTTCTGTTTTAAACCCTGTTGAAGTCTTCATCAGAATAAAGAGCCGAGATATTTATTTTAAATGTGATGGATTGTATACTCACAGTTGTAAGACCTTTCTATATTACATGTGTCACGCGACTAACTTTTAGGAGAAACTTGAAGACAATTCTGGTCGAATACAGTAAATGAATTTTTTGAGGATAACCTCGACACAANACAATAGTTGCAGTTTATACAAGCTAATTATATACGAAACAGTTATTTCTTAAATTAAAAAAAAACAATACTAACATATTAAAAGATTAATATTTCACAATTCAAACAGTCTTCAACAGAGTAGAAACAGTGCCTCAATAGTGAGCGCTTAACTCTAGCCTTGGAACTGTTAAAACTCATACTAATAATGTCTGTTGGTATTTTATTGTATGAAAGTAAGTTGAGTGAATTTTGAGTTGATAGATCCAGGGATGAAGACCCTTAACGGACACTTTTTCTGTTTGACACACAGAGATGATTTCCCTTATCTCAACCCTCCATACTATAAATGAAGTATAATTGGTTGGAACTACTTTCATATAATGTTACTATAGTTGTGATGAATTCCTGGAAGATGATTTCCGTTGAAGTAAGAAGATGATTTTACTTATTTTTTTCCTCTTACTATCATTTAGTGTTATCTTCGACGCCTGTTCCATATTTTTACTAAGGAATTTATATACGTGTCTTGTCTATATATGTGTATGTATGTGTGTATGTTTATATATGTGGGGGTATCGTCTGTACACAAATTTTATATTACAAAATTTTAAACATTTTGCANACTCGGGATGTTCTTTACGAGAACGTTGATACTACTTGAGGGCGAGAATTTACATTCTCATACAGTCAAGTCGTACCAGTCAGTACTCCGTGTGGAACTAACGAAACCATACGTAACGAAGCTTTACGTATGGTTTCGCTTAATTAGGTAGCTGAGAAACTCACCCAAAACTTCGCTCTGCCCATTCAGTGCGGCCAACATAACACGCTCACATACCTCGGTACCACCGTCCGAGGACTAGATATTGATCAAAGCAAGCTCGTATTGTAGTTTAACTTTGACTCGCTGCTGTTGTAGCGGTTACCATTCTCTTACCTCTATACGTGGAAAGAGTTTTGACTATGATGTGTATTGACTTGAGACGTCTGAAAGTATATCTATTATAGGGTTTTGTTCCACACGGTAAGATTCCACTGGTCATCACCGCCGTATCATCCTACGTTCTTTCATATACGGGGGGGTACTCTATACGCCACTGTCCCTGTAAACCAAACCGTTAATTTTTTTCGGAAATTCCCCCATTTCATTATATCCCGGCGTTGCCTAGGTGGAAAGGTACGAAAGTAATATAACATTTTTGCGTGATTTTGGAATGTAAGTTACAATTGTGTAATTTTTTTGAAAGCCGAACATCGAAGATCTAACCGCTCTATTTTTGACATTTAAAAGCTGTTGTGGAATTATTTTCTTATCTTTCCTTACTGTTCCGCCGGCGGTTAGTTTATATTCACTACGTAAGACATCTATAAGTGGCAAACTAGTGTACCAATTATCAAACGTAATATTACGATTTGTGCCAGATACAGGTCTAATCAACCTTTGCACTATTTCAGAAGGTGAATTACTGAGACAAAATTCACATTCTGGTTGTTTTCCAGCATACATTTCCATATTTAGGACGTAAAAAGTACGCGAATCTACAAGTGCCTGTATCTTCAGGCCGTATTTAAAAGTTTTATTCGGTTCATGTGGTTACCGAAATTCGATAAAATGCACTCGAAACTTATTGTAATATACTCAAAAGTTTTTTTATGTTGAGGTATTGATAATAAGAAAGTAAGCAAAAACCATAGCGATGATCTTTTAAGATGGTATCCTTTGAAAAACTGTAAACAATCTCCGTGGCAAAGCTAGTTTAAAACACCTTGTCAACTTGTTTTGTATGTTACATTACTTGTCAGTATTTTAATTTAAGTTTAAAGTTCGTTAACTTCAAGTCTGACTAATGGTTAGATTAACGGAAATGCAAAAATACCAGTTTTACAAATGATTGGTTACGGAGATAAACCTCGAACACAACAGGAAGTAGCTCGCCTATTTCATGAGAAATTTCCTAATTTACCACCCATATCTTAAGAAACAATAAGCAAAATGGAGAAGCAGTTTCGTGAGCTTGGTCATGTGGGGCAGATAAAAAAAGCAGCTGCCAATGCAATGAGTGATGAACTCAAATTAGATGTGATGATTGAGTTTGAGGAAAACCCACATACATCGAATAGACAGACAGACATCCACTTCATTCAAAGTTAGCCATGCATTGATAGTAAACATATTGAAAGAAAATAAAATGCACCCCCATGCTAATCGGCAAAATTGCCGTTGACAATCAAAAATGAAATAAAAATTGAAGATTTCAAACCAAGTTACCTCACGACGTTTCGATTGTCAGTATCCATAATCATGAATACGATGAGCATGTGTGAAGATGCATAATTTTTGGGCACATTCATCGACTCCAAAATACACTGGAACCGGCACATTGACTTTATCTGCAAAAAACTCAGTAGCCAGTGCTTTGCGATTAAGCAACTGAAGAGATCCTTGAACATGAAATATCTACTAAATGTATACTATGCATTAGTTCACTCAACTCTGAACTACAACATTATGTCACGGGGAAATAGCACAGAGATGGAAAGACCTTTTGCAATACAAAAAAGGATAATTCGTGTAATATTTGATCTTTCCCATAACGAATCATGCCGAGATACTTTCATACGGAACAACATGCCTACTTTAACTACTATATATCTCATGAAAATCTTAATGTATGTCAAAACAAACATCAATTACTTTGAGAAAGTCGGAGATATTTCAAAGTATGCCACTAGAAATTCTATTTTTCTTACAGTTTTGTGACTGAAAGTTACTTCTCTGCATAATCTTTACATCTTTATAAAGAGTTAATTTTGAAATTGATTGCTTCCTTCCTTTGTAAAATTCCCACTGTTTGTAATGAAGATGGACTAGAAAGTCAAAACGTTTTCCAAATACTTTTTTGTCTCTCAATGGTCCGGGATTTATATTTAGATAGATAGAAACGTTTATTCCATCACATTAACTACAAAATGTACAATAGTGACAAGTAAAACTGACAAACAAGAAAAACAATAGTTGCAGTTTATACAAGCTAATTATATACGAAACAGTTATTTCTTAAATTAAAAAAAAAACAATACTAACATATTAAAAGATTAATATTTCACAATTCAAACAGTCTTCGACAGAGTAGAAACAGTGCCTCAATAGTGAGTGCTTAACTCTAGCCTTGAAACTGTTAAAACTCATACTAATAATGTATGTTGGTATTTTATTGTATGAAAGTAAGTTGAGTGAATTTTGAGTTGATAGATCCAGGGATGAAGACCCTTAACGGACACTTTACTGTTTGACACAGAGACGCTTTCCCTTATCTCAACCCTCCATACTATAAATGTTACTATAGTTGTGATGAATTCCTGGAAGATGATTTCCGTTGAGCAATGATTTTACTTATTTTTTTACTCTTACTATCATTTAGTGTATCTTCGACGCCTGTTCCATATTTTTACTAAGGAATTTATATACGTGTCTTGTCTATATATGTGTATGTATGTGTGTATGTTTATATATGTGGGTGTGTGTATGTGTGTATATATGCATATATGTATATACACATATATGATAAATGAAATACCTACCTATTTTATTCGTATCACACTGTTATTATGTTCTANTTCTCTTTGATCAGCTTCTTCGGCATTATGTTCCTCTATATTTTGTTGCGTTTGTCCCTCGTCCGCCTCTACATATTCTGTATCCGAATGTTCACTTTAAACATTCAAATGATCGATTTCAGAATTACTTCTAGATTGTAAAAATTCTTCTTCATCAGATATGTCTTCACTCCAAAGTTGCATAAGGTGCTGTTGATCTTTTTCGTAGTCACCCATAATTAACTAAGTATTGTGAAGGCACTATGAAAATAAAAAGGGTTATAAACTCAAATAAAATTAAAATGAGGCACAACTTTGAGTATTGAGTTGCGGTGTAAGTTACAGAGCACCTAATTTTTGACTTCGGTACCTAAAAAGCACCTAAAAAGTACGTAATTTTGGCATTTTCTAAATGCGATTTCCGTACTTTGCATTGCTGGCGTAACAACTGAATTTCGGTATAAAAAGTCAAGTAGACCAATACCTATCATTGGAAATTGGGAAAATGAATGTCTTATCATGGGACCAATCACAGAAAAACCTTATACGAATCAACGTGAGATCGAGAAAGATACAGGGATAAGCAGAGGGAGCATTTCTAGGGTAATAAATAAATACAAATTTCACCCGTATAGTATTCAGATGCACCATGAATGGACAATTTCGATGTTATTTAATTTCCAATTGAACCTAGCATTTTCACAAAAACATCAATAACTGGAGAACGGTTATAGTTAGGTACATAGTAACTCATATGAAAGCATATTATTTTTTTCAGATCTATTCAAAAGTGTAACGAAATACACAACTTTGATATGTCGCACTTTTTTGAGCCACCCGGTAGACTCAAAATAATTTCCTTCTGCAGCCTTAATCCATATACATATAATGAAAAGAGAAATTCCCGAGAAAATTAATGGTTTGGTTTACAGGGACCGTATGGTATGGGGTACATCGCAAACGTTTTGGAAAGTAAATATACATATCCCAATGGAGTCATATCCCACCCAATAATTTTTGAAGTTTGGAGTACAGAAATATTTTTTTTATTTAAGAAAGCTGATTATGTTAAAATTATTTCAATAAATCTATTTCACTTACAGGCTTAATTTAAAATTAGGACAATTTACTGACTAATTATACGGTTCATATTACTCTGAAACTTTTTGGTTTGCTTTTCTTTACCTAGGTTTAGATGTATTTACTTGTTAGATTATATAGAAGAGGTTGACAATCCAAAAAATAACAAGGAACATAATTTGCATCTTAGATCTGGTTATACAAACGATGGTTAAAGTGTTGATCAGGTAGGTAACCATTACTTAGAAGTTAACTTCGATTTTTTGTACTCGGTCAGAAAATTTACCAGTAAAGGAAAGGTATTTAAAAATTGAAGAGGTGAGTGCATGAAGGGGTTATGTACCAAAATGTAAAATTTCCGGCTTTCAGAGGGAATAAAGGAGTTATGTGTTATACTTTTTTCTAACGTCACATATGAATAAAATCACAAAGGACTGTTTTGTGAGTAAAATTCCTTTGAAGTTCAGGGTTGCCACTTCGGTGACCTGGCAAAATTGCCAGATCGAATCATAATTCTTCAGTTACAGTGTTGATTTTGTTTTTATTTTTTGGATTCACTAGAATTATAATTTTCATCGCATCTTTCAAACCATAGTTATGTTTTATTTAAAACACCAACATCGCAAACACTGGGGAGGCACCTTATAGAGGAGGTTTGATGGAAGTTGATGCTGATATCAACGATGAACAGCGTTCCACCAAAATATAACAACTTCAATATACAATCGTACCAGGTCAATATCATTAATGCATAGTAAATTTCCAATTATATGTCATCGGAACCATTACCTTTGAATTGGTTTCAATAATATTAGTTCAAAATGTCGAGTTTAACAGGGAAATATTTACGTAATTTTCAAATTTGCACAATTATTGAGCTAGTATGGAGATACTCTATGGTTGCCAGACTCTATAAACATTCTTTAGTTTCAAATATGGCAAAGACTCACGTTACAAAGACTTTCTGAATATTTGGAAGGTTCTAACGCTATAGTTTCTTTATGAAACAAATATGAGATATATTCTGTGATACGATATTATTTACCTTTCACGTGTTAAGAAACTTCTTCCACATTATTATATTTTGAAGGGGGTCGTTATTTAAAAGTCACTGAATTTATTACTAAATTATCTTAAACGTAGTACGAAAATGTAATATCGAGTGGCATCCCTGTAAAAGGTTATGTTATCGATAGAAAATTTGAAAGATGGAGCAATATTTGAGTTTGAAAGGTTCTGAGGTCACGAAATATAGAAATAAATGTAGACTTTATTTTGCAATGTGATAAAATATATCGTGTTTTTAGTTGAAAAGTACCAAAGATACTGCATTTTTATTGCACGAGCAAAATTAGTACAAGTACGCAAAAGAAATATGTAAGAATGTAAGTAGTAGGAGTAACCTATTTGTATGCTTTTTATGGACGTTATTTACTTTATTATTCTCGTATAGCACATTTTTGTATTTTCAATGCATTTCAACACAACCACAACTCATTTTGTTTTCACGTTTCACATTTGCTATTTTTATATTTGTTTATGATACACTAGAAATAAATATATACTTGGAGTGATGATACTATTTATTATTGAGTGTATTCCCTTTTTGACAATTCTTAGAATGTATCTAATGATGCCCATTACTGTACAGTTAATCATCTTATGGTTATTATTCAGATCAGCCATTCTAATGTAGAACAATTATTTCTTTAGCTGTGCATCAGCTTTTTATTAGGCTCCTTTGTTCAATTGCTACTTAGCTATTGTCTTATGACACGGTCACAAAGGAATTGCACATAAAATAAACTTTCAAATAACAAGATCAACTGGCATTAAATCATCACGTTATAAGGCTTTGATTTCAAGCTCATCAATATGAACCTAGTAGTCACAGCATAAGTTACTGCATCTTTAGGAAACAAGTACTAAACCGAAGTTCCAAATTTTGTTTTTAATCACACTATTGATACTGACAATACTGTCTTTTTGAAACTGTTGACTGTAGAAACAACTTGATATTTTTAATTCTAACCAACTTCTGTCCACTCAACATAGTTTCATGCAAAACAAAAGCACTAAAAGAACCTTATGTGACTTCATTGAACACATTAAAATCTAGTCTATACGAACTTAAATCTACATATTCAATGTTTTGTGTTTTAACAATATGAAGTACCCAAATTTTCAGAACCCAAGTTATACCTACCCAATCAATGTTGAAAATGTGTACCTGAGTGAGAATATTGGACAAACAGGGAAGAACTTTTTCCCAAAGAATTGAAGAGCATAGAAGTAGGTTTTTGAAAGGAAAGATCAATATCACATTTGCAAACCATTTCTTGGTAGAAGAACATGAGTTCAATTGTGACTATGACATGTTACATTGAGAAGAGAAAAGTTTGAAACTAAATTTTTAGAATGTCTAGAAATGAATAGAGTTAAGAATTCGTGTCATTTACTGAATGACCAAATAGAACTAATTAACTCCCCGTTACTGAATTTTTTCAAATGTGGAAATTGGTAACTGACTGATAAATAAGCTCAGGAAATTTCATTCATTACATGTTTATTTGAAATGAGTTTTTGAATTTTCTTTTCTCATGTGTTTCGCTATACAATAGCTTCCTCAAGCTGTTTCATATTTCATTTCAGATGTGATTAGTTAAATAATAAAATGAATATTTGATTTTCTGCTTTTTACGGATTTTTTTGCAATATTTTTTGAGAAAAATGCAAAAAACGAATCTCTTTTTGTTTGATTGTTTGAAACTTTTAAACTATTCATTAGCGTAACTTGCCTCAAATCATAAATTACCTGTGTGAAATTACAAATCGAATGACACCTCAATCATAATTTTTGAAGAAGGCTAAAATACTAGTGCTTGTGGTATTATTTATATGGTTATAATGACCTTTTCACTGCTGTTATCTTACATACAGAGTGAGCCAGTGAGAACGAAACAAGGCCAATTTCTCATTAATTGGGAAAACATTCGCCCAGACCCGTCGATTTTTATTTTGAGGGAAAAACTTTTTGCGCCTATTGTCAATCTTGTCATTTTCGCCCCCTCGATAGTCTAATATCCTAAATGGGATATCTCGTTTGAAATGTTATCGATTGTTCTTTTCCACACTATTCTGCTTTACGGAATTTGATGTAATGAATATCAAAACACGTTTTGAAGTTAATAGCAAGTCAAGATGAAGAAAGTTAGCTTTTATTGAGTTTTTGACCTTACAAACTTCTAATTTCAACATGTATTTAAAATGTTGATCACCTACTTCCATCTGGTGATGAAGGTTTTGTTCGAGTTTTATAGATTGTCGTCTTCAAGCGTCCTTACAAAAAATCCAACGGACTCAAATCTGTTGACCTTGCAGGCCACACTGATACTCTTCAGCTAGTCCACCCACCACAAACAATAAGGTTAGTGAGGAGGTGCCTCAACTTGTGAAAATGTCAATTCATTTTCAATGTAATAGTCATTGTGTTCAAGAATGTCTGTTGACACGGACTAAGTGTGAGTTTTCATAACACCAATACTCATCTGAGAAACATTTGAACAACCAGTTCGGTTTATTTATTATCCGTTTACTCATTAACTCGCGAAAATGTAAACGTTTGTCGAAGTTACATTCATTTGAAATTTGGGGCACTTCTGAATTCTTTGAATACTCAAACGACTTATGCCAGAAACTGAGGATGAATGCATGGAACTTGAGGAGGCTCAAGACGTGGCTCAGCACAGCAATTTCCAGAGCTTTGTTTCCCATTATTTCAGTTGGGGATTCCTTCTTCGATTTGTTATCAGTCCTGTCTTTATAAATTTGGCTACGATTTTAGTCATGTACTGTCACAACTGTACTGTAGTACTAGTGCACCTACCATTTTCAAAATGAAGTTCAATTATCGACACTCTGCATATGAATGAACCATTTTGAGAAAAAATAATAAAATTCGAAATGGTCACGGACAAAATTTGTGAAATAATAAATATCGACCATTCATTTGTAGAATGATTGACAAAAACTGAAGTAATCGTTGAATTGAAATAGAATAGCAGCACACTGAAACATTAGTATTGAAAGTAAGACGCTTCACTATCGTTTATTGCTAGATTTTTTAGTAAATTTTTTATTCTGGGAAACTACTGCATCAAATTTCAAAAAGTGGGAACCTTTGAAAAAAGAAATCTACCTTTCAAATGAGGTACGGCTTTTATTCAAGATCCCATTTAGAATTCAAAGGTTGGATTTCACCTCGCCGAGAGGGTGGAAATGCTGAGGTCGATAATAGATAATAAAAATTTTTCTCTCAAAATGAAAATCGACGGGTCCGATTGAATTTTTTCCGGGTGCCATTTATGAGAAAATGGCTTCGTTTTGGTTTCACTGACCCACCCTTGTATTTCTTTTATATTACCCCATCGGCAAAACAACTTTCATCTTTTGCAATAGTGACTTTGTTATTGCTTCTGGGTAGCCATCTACCCACCACCACCTGGAGCGAAACCCATACAACTTAAGTTGGGGAAACGAATACCTATCAGCGCTGTTGAATAGAAAAATACAAAAAAACATAATGGAGACTCACTAAATTTATTTATGCTTTTCCTTATTTTTCATCGAAACTGAACAAAATTTACATTTTGTTACTGCCTCATCTTTAGTTCAACAATCTTATTTTTCCTCTCAAATGTTTATGCCTCTTTTAACTACTAGTTGATCACCATTGCAACTCAATTCCAAAATTTTTTACATGTACAGAGTGGACCAAATTTGACACTTAGGGAAACTCTTGTTTTCAAACTAGATAGATGAAAACTGATGGCTATGTCTGAAAATCAAATTTTTGTAGTGTATGTGGTGTTTATTTTGATGTTAGTTCCTTATTTCCTAGCGTCCCAATTCCACAGACCTTGCAATACCTCAGGGAATTACTAGAGAAAAAAGGCTCACTTGGTGATCGAAACGCGTGTCGAGGTGTTAAAAATAACGATTTGGTGTTGGGAAAAAACTCCAGTAATACTGATCACTACACCAAAGGTTCCAAACAGTGCATCATAAGTTTGTAACACACACTTTGATAAAGTAGGCTTTGGACGATGCGGCGATAAAACAGAACGTAAATCTTTACTGGTAGCAAATTTTGATTTAAGCAGTAAGGACGCTCTTCAATTAGTGATTTTTGTTCAATTTTCAAACACACTAATGGAGCTCAGAAAAATATATTTTCAAGACGGACCTTCATCTCAAAACTGCAAATGTCACCAATTTTTTGGCTGCAAATTTTGGTAATATTTATATAGCTAACCAAGGACCCAACAGAACCTAACTTTTACCTCTGGAGAATACCAGCTGTCGAAAGCGCTCGCAGATAATTAATAGAAGATATAAAGCTTCAAATCCTTTTTTGTGAAATTTAATATTAAAATACTGAAAATACAGGAAAATTAGTTGCATCATTCGAAATAATCTATATAAAAATGGACGTTTGTTGATTGGTTGGTTGGTAAGTGATAAACTTCTACATCGCTCAACAGATCGTGATGAAACTTGACATGTATAGGTAATTTTTTATAGAGAAGGTTTTCAGGCCATCACATTTTCTGTAAGTCGCCACTAGATGGCGCTGCTGAACAATATTTTGAAAGCACTGTTCTATAACGCTGCGCATGCCTAAGTTCGTTAATTCTAATTCTGTCAAAACATTGGAACAGCAGCGATACAGCTGGAACAGCAGCGATACAGCAACATAGTAGATGAGTTCCGTTTCCGATGTGGTGGTGGACGGACGTGCCGATAGCGATCGTCCACAAAGAAGGTACGCGGACGCCATTTTTGGAGATGGAATTCAGTTTGTATTGTGATGTCCGCCGTTTTATAACGAGCCAGCAATCTTAAAAATAATAGTATTAATAAAAATTGTTTGTGTTTGTGTAAAATATTTATAATACCTGCTCCCATTCACGCCGGTTGGAGGCCGGGTGGACCGGATGTCCACGTGGGAGTGGGATCGCAACAATACTATTTTATGAAGAAGACAATAGTTTTATTTCCAAGAACAGTATACCTCATTTCGGATACAGACTTGCAAACGGCAAGACAGTCTTTGTCCCCCGACGAAGCTTTTGTTATGTAACAGGAGAAGCATCCAAAATAGAGAGAGAGAGAGAGAGCAACATAGTACTAGTATAGTATAAATTATTATCAGTTTTATTTGCGTTTCTCAACATTTGATAGCTACTACTGAATAATTTCTTTCTGTTTTATCGCCTCGTCCTCCAAAGCCTATTCGATCAAAGTGTACGTTTCAAGGTCTACATGAAAAAAACCTATACGGTTTTCACTGTTGAGTTTGTCATTAAATTTGACCACCAGCCACAGCCATCAGTCTTCATGTGACTAGTTTGAAAACTGGAGTTTTCATTCAAAAGTGTTCAAATTGGTCCACTCTGTACAAGATGCCGCAAATGTATAAATTTTTAATTTTTTTCAGGTTAACTAATGGCAAACATCAAGTTCACCCCTCAACAAATAGCATCATTCAGCGACAGGATAAGCAATGTTTTAGAACATCCTTTATGCAGAACAATATATGAGCAATATTTAAAAAGACTATGTGGTCCTGGTGAGAATTATGCAATGATGTTATGGATAAAATCGGGTGAAACCAATATTGATGAGAATACACTATTAAATATTATTGAAGATATAGACGAATTCAATCAACAAGCCCTGGAAGAAATATCAGACCATTCACTTAAAATTGCTTACATCAAACGAGAATGTTGTAGAATCTTGCAAACATCACATCAACCATTCATAGATTATTTAAACCGTTATCATTAATTATTTATTAAATACAATATTTCATTAATGAAGTTTTTTTTGTAGCTTGAATGATATTTTTGGAGATGGTATTCGTGCCATTAAAAAAAACTCTCCAATCTTTATTGTTCCCAATAATTTCGTATCAACAGAAGAAAATTTTTTCTCGTTTCATCAATGGTGGCAGCAGCTCTAGTATAGTCTATCCATTCCCAATTGGAACGGCAATGAAAATTAGAGTGCAGTTATAAACATTTCTTGCCTGAGGCCCCTAGTCGCCCAGATAGTAAACGTGCTATCAAATGTAGTTGAGGAATAAAGGCTCGGCTAGCTGGACTGGCTGAATACTAATTTTTTGTCCGTTTCAAAATATGTCTTTATCAGTGTCGTTATAAAAAGTCAAGTAGACCAATACCTATCATTGGAAATTGGGAAAATGAATGTCTTATCATGGGACCAATCACAGAAAAACCTCATACGAGTCAACGTGAGATCGAGAAAGATACAGGGATAAGCAGAGGGAGCATTTCTAGGGTAATAAATAAATACAAATTTCACCCGTATAGTATTCAGATGCACCATGAATGGACAATTTCGATGTTATTTAATTTCCAATTGAACCTAGCATTTTCACAAAAACATCAATAACTGGAGAACGGTTATAGTTAGGTACATAGTAACTCATATGAAAGCATATTATTTCTTTCAGATCTATTCAAAAGTGTAACGAAATACACAACTTTGATATGTCGCACTTTTTTGAGCCACCCGGTAGACTCAAAATAATTTCCTTCTGCAGCCTTAATCCATATACATATAATGAAAAGAGAAATTCCCGAGAAAATTAATGGTTTGGTTTACAGGGACCGTATCGTATGGGGTTCCTCACCCTGCATATTGCTGATTAAATATTTTACATACATGAAAACACTTTCAACCTATTGAATCAACTGTTCATATATTATTGAAGTTTAATGTGCAAAGTCTTTGGCTTTGGCCTCAAGGGAAAAGACATATTCTTCCTAAGAAAATGTACACAGGAAAGTGTAAGTTTTTAGAACCGATGTACAAGAAAAATTGACATTCTTGTGACGAAATACAGTCATTCAAATCTATATAAAATGGAACTAAATGATGCATGTGCTAGTGAAATCATTTCAAAACAAGTGTAGTCAATATGTGCTCTTTCATTTCCAAAGACGTTATTTTCACAGCACTTGAAGTTTCCTCTCGAACGTTCATTTACTAAAATAATTCCTTTGCCTTGAAAAACGGAAAAAGCAATTTTCGCATTGCATAATCCGTATAACGTCTGGCTTAACTTTGAATTCGTGATCAAGTCGAGTCTCATTCTCATGCTTGATAAATTATGAATATTGTAAAAGTGTGTTACTGTCTGCTTTGAAACATTGAAATTATTCAACACAGCTGAATTTTTCATGAGACGCACTGAAATCATCGAATAATTAGTAAAGTTTAGAATTCATGAAATACGGGCGACTCGCTGTGGACAAATTTATCAGAGGAATCCAAAACAAGCACTGCTCACACATCAGAACTGCAAACAGCTTCTCGACGCGCGGTTTACCGACCAGGTTGGCGTCTTCAGAACATGAACTATACTGATATACTGTGCCAAAGCTATTTTCCGGGTTTGTTAACCGTGGTCTGCAAGGTTTTATGCTTGCTGTTTTATCTACAACTGTGGTAGAAATCATCAAAGTTGTCCTCACAGCACATTCATTTATTTATTTATTCATTTCATACACTATTCTACAGGATGAACCCAATTACAGAATAGGGAGAAACAGTGGNTAGAAGAACATGAGTTCAATTGTGACTATGACATGTTACATTGAGAAGAGAAAAGTTTGAAACTAAATTTTTAGAATGTCTAGAAATGAATAGAGTTGAGAATTCGTGTCATTTACTGAATGACCAAATAGAACTAATTAACTCCCCGTTACTGAATTTTTTCAAATGTGGAAATTGGTAATTGACTGATAAATAAGCTCAGGTAATTTCATTCATTACATGTTTATTTGAAATGAGTTTTTGAATTTTCTTTTCTCATGTGTTTCGCTATACAATAGCTTCCTCAAGTTGTTTCATATTTCATTTCAGATGTGATTAGTTAAATAATAAAATGAATATTTGATTAAGAGTTCTGGATGAGTGCTGAATTTTTTGATTTGAGAACAAAAAAGACCTGAAGTGTTTTTGTCGTATCTTTAATTGTTTGAAAGTTATATTGATCATTGTGATCAGAAACAAGACAAGAAAGACAAACTGAAAGATATAAGAATATTGAAAATGGAATCAAAGAGAATGAAACAACTTTTTTCATACGAAATGATAGGTGGTATCATTTCGTATGTTCTATCATTATAGGCGAACAAAATGATGTAAAGTAAATAGAAACCCGATCGAATATGCTCCTATTACTCACGTCATAATTTAGAAATTTGCGGTAGCCGCAGAGAAACAAAATCAAGAAGTAGAAATGTTTCAGTTGTCCCCGGTTCAAGTAAACGATATAGTGCAACCTGCTTTCCAACAGTTCCCCTTTAATAATATAGTCAGGGAGCTAACTAATTTTGTTATTCAATAATCATTTTTGATTATTTGGAAAATTATTTTTACGCCTGATCCTTTGTTTCATTTCCCTAAATCAACTCGATGAGATTGAAAACACAAAAATAGGGGAGAAGTTTCAGTATGTGTGTCCATACTTTTCAGGAATACTCTCAAGGGCATATACTTATTCAAATGTTTTTGTTTGTTAAACTTCAAGTAGTTGCTTTTTGGTATAGCTCACATCAGCTCACGTTATGGCCGGAAGTATTCAATTTTTCCTTTATGATTTCAGTTGTTGGAACCTCATTGCTTTTGTAACAGTCGTATATTGTTTTTTCAATGATTTTATTAGTTTATTAGATTTACATCTGAAGGTTTTGGTAATCCTGTGTCACATTGCGTCTTGCGCTCATAACGTTTGTTTTTGACTATTTTATGTACAGTTGAGAAAGGAATTTCGGCCAAATCGGATGTTGATTGTTATAGTTTGTTTCCCTCGAAACCAAACTTCAAAAAAATCTGTTTTTACGTTAATCAGCTATCGCCCCCATAAGAACGACAACTCTCAGAAGTTGAGAAACGTGTGCGAGCTAAGGACTAACGAGGTATTACCTTTTAACGTGTGATTCCTAACACGGTTGCAGAGTCATCCCTTGAGATGTAGATTCTTATACATTGAAACATACTCTCTGTGATTCTATATTCAAATGTATCCGAATCTTATTCACTGGTATCTCTTTTTCGCATTGTTCACCATCGCTATTGGAATCACTAACTTTAAACGTTCAAGCCAGTCTCGGATATACCTACACAGTAGGTTGAATGGACTGACGCCTATCAGAAAACAACTACTCTGGTCTGCAAGGGTGCCCGTTCCAAAATTGAGGGTCGACTCTTTCAGTTGTATTGCCAATTGCATATGCAGGAAACTTTCTGTGAAGATTCCTGCACTGACGCCTGTTGGATATAATCCAACGTCCTTCGTGGTATTAACCAGGGGAGTAGTTGTATTCTGTTCAACCTACTGTGTAGGTATATTCGAAACTGGCTTGAACGTTTGAAGTTAATTTCATGAAGACTACCAGTCTTCAAGCACTAATAAGTAAGTTTTTATTCGAAGTAAATATAGAAATTTTTCTGAACTGTTAATACTTCAGGACAGCTATTCTTTATATCACCCGGTGAAAAGTATTCATGGTAGTTTTAAACCCTTGAACTTATTGAGACTGCTATTCATGCAACATTTATTGGGATAGGCGGTTCCACTCTAAAATAAAAGACAACTTTATATGGACTGAATGATTTTTAATAAATACAAAAATAAATATAACAATATTACTTTTCACTAATACATATATTTACAGGCGATAATTATTTCAGTCGATTCTAAAATGTTTAAAGTGAGCAATTGTCTTGATGTCCATATACTGCAACTGGTATTTTGTTATAGTACAGTCATCTGGGAGTTTTACCTCGAAAGTTTTTCAGGAGTTTTGAAAATGAGTGATTTATTAGATTTTGAAGTGTTTTTTTCGAATTTCTACTCTGCCACCTCGTATCTTTGCCACTTGCGACGCCACAATGGAAAAGCAGTTTCTTGACGATATCTCCTTTCCGAGTCATTTTTCGAACAAAATATTCATCAATTCATCAGTTTCTATTTCGTCCTCTTCATATATTTTCTTATTAGTCAGTGGGCTNTAAACGGCAATATTCACAGACAAAATTGCCGTTATTGGAGTGAGTTTTCCAGAAAAAATTAAAGTTTGGGCAGGAATATTGGGAAACCATATTGTAGGACCTCTATTTATTGGTCAAAATTCAACAGAGGAAGGGTATTTGAATATGCTGGAAACTACTGTTGACCCTCTCATCACTAAAATTGTCGAAGCGAATCCTAATGAATTCGATATGGATATTGTATTCCAACAAGATGGAGCACCACCACATCACCCCAGACAAGAAGAAACTATTTGGATACTACTTTTCCCGGTTGTTGGATTGGCCGTCGAGGCCCTACAGAATGGCCAGCCTTCTTGCCGGATTTGACACCTTTGGACTTTTTTATGGGGCTATTCTAAGCGAAAGGTGTACGAAACTGAACGATATTGGATATACGGCAGAGAATAATAAATATTTGTAGATATATTGACGTTACTGTGTTCGAAAATGTTCGGCGTGAATAATCGGATAGGCTGTTCATATGTCAAGGAGTTCAAGGCAATTATTTCGAGCATCTTCTGAACTGACCTCAAGCTTATTACTTCATATTATGTAGTCAAATATCAATGTATGCAGCCAATTATTAAAAGTTCGGTTGAAGATATTGACATTATATTCTGGGGTTGTGAAGTATTCGTCAGGAGCATCAAAAAGGTGTGTAACAAGACCCCCCTTTCCATTTAATTTTTTTGCCCAAATGGCGTCCATCTTGAACGTTTCATCTGTCAATTTCACTTCAAAATAAAGTATTCATGCATCAATTCCATTATCCCAAATTTCAATTTTATGAGTTGACTCGTTCAAAAAATAAAAGGGGAGGGACATTAAAGAAATGCACTGTATATGTGTTAGCGTAGATGAATAATGGTGTGCTACGTTCACTATACCTCAAAATAGCTTGTGAACCACGTTCAACCACGTATTGAATAATATTTTGCGGCGCTCTTACGCCGAAACCATTGAGTTGGTGAAAAAAATGGTTGGGGCATAGAACATTTTTTCCAGTTCAATTATGTATATGAATATTTTCCTCATAAAATGACTCGGAAATGAGATATCATCAAACAACTGCTTTTCGACGCCATTTGTTCAATATAATAATAATAACAATTTATTTTCCCAAGAAACATACAATGTTAATAGCAGGGAAAAAACAATAATTCAAAAAACTAACTGAAACATAACTAAGTACGAACAGAGCACACAAAAAAAGATAAATCAGAACTGAAACTTGAAAAAATATAAATATACATACATATACACACATATATACATACATATATGTTTGAAACAATGTTCAACATTGTTTATTAATTTTTTTAAAGGCATTCAGTAGCTCATTGTGAAATTTTAGATTTTTATAATTAATCGAATTTTGCCCAATATTTCTTTTCATTTTCATTAATTTCAGATTGCCAGCATATCTTTGAAGGTCAAATTTCAATGTTTGAGCTCATTTTTGGCCAAACGAATGAAGGTAAATAATTTGAATTTCTGTAAGGATGACAAATCTAATTTTTTTTTTGGTTTACACAAGTTGACTGTAGGCTCATTGTAGTTCAACTTGTATATTCGCATTATAATTTTGTTCTGAAGTTTTTCAATTGGTTTCAATAGGGAATTTATCGCTAAAGGTACGCAAATGGCAAAAATACGTGGTAGCAAAGTGGAAATTCAAAAAGAGCACTTCAAAATCTATGAAATCACCTATTTTCAAAAGTCTCGGAAAACTTTCCAGGTAACCTTTATTTTTCAATCTAATGACTGTACTATTAGATATTTGAAAAGACTGATATCTTTTTATCTCCCATTCTATCCTTCAGTCTGACAGTGATTCTTATATTCGTCTACTAAAATAAATAGTTGTCGTAACAACTTTATTCATCGCCATTAGTAATGTACATTAGGTTTCATGAAGTCCAGTGAAATTGAAATATTTTGTGCAGGACCAGAAAACGGTACGTTATTGAATTTTAGAGCTGCTAATATTCATTATGAAATGCGGTGGTGATTCAAATCTAGAGTAAGAATCAATCGCATTTAAACGTCCTCTAATCTTTAAACTTAATATTCCTTCATTTTTTAATGTTTTAATTACGATTTAAGATTTTGTATACATAAATTATTGTTTCATTTTTATTTCATTACTCACATCTATTAGACGCTAAACATGGAATGAAACTAATAATATAAAAGATGTATAAGTAAGTTGAATCCGAAATGAAGGAAAATAAGAAGTCATTACAATTAATGAACTAATACTTCACATAGTGATATAATCCTAAGTTAATTCCTATTTTTCCTGAATAATACTCTGGTCAATACGTGCTTTCCAGACCAAATTTTTTCTTCGTCTCGGAAGAATATGAAGAGCTGTCATTCGATTCGGAATAGCTTTTAGATGACTTTTGAAATAATATAAGTGTCTCTTGCGGAAATTGCAAAAGTTATAAACAATTAACTGAAACGAATGGGGTCCGTTTTATGCAAATATTTCAAAAACTATTTTACACTTTTCAAATTTGAAAACAGATTTCGACAGAATATGAAATAGCCGAGGAAATTCTTAAAAATGGTTCCACCTCCCAGAACTAACTATATGACCATCATTTATAATTTTCAAGTACTCCTCTGGCTTATGCAAGCCACGCCAAATTGGGACCTTTATTGGAAAAGATTTCAACTTATTGAATATCAAAATTAAAAATTGAAAAAAATTCAGGCACCTACTGGATAAATGAATGAACAATAATCCGTGGTCAAAAAATTTTTATCGTGATTTTCCAGTTTTTTCCAAAACTTTTTTTGAATTTTCTTAAAAACAACGCATTTGTTCATAACAATTTCCTAAACAATAGCAGATAAAATGAAAAAACATCCATGTAGCTTCTGATCATAAAAAACAGATCGATAATAATATTGAAAAAACAGTATTACCAATGAATTATGAAGCTTCAGAATTTTTAACCTGATAACTGTTGATAACAAATTGAAAAATAAAAGTTTCTTTATTTTTCAAAAAGGAATCCAAGAATAGGTTCAAGAATAGGACAAAAATCTCAGATTTGTTATTTAACAATTATCGCACTTGCAATGTTCCTGTTTGAGTAGAAAAAAATTGTTAATTAACTAATACATAATTAACTGGAAAATCACGATAAAAATTTTTACCTAGGATTATTTTGTTCATTCATTTATCCAGTAGGTGCCTGAATTTTTTTAATTCTCAAGTTTGATATTGAATAATTTGAAATAATATTTCTTCATTAATTGTCCAAAATGAGTGTCTTGTGCAAGCCGAGTATCTGTTTTAGGAGGTATACTGAATCCTTTGGGAAAATTACAAATATTGGCCCTATACAGTTCCGAGAAATAGACTTTTTTTTGTAAATTATTTTGAATCTGTTTTCAAATTCGAAAAATGTCAAATAGTTTTTGAGATATTTGCAACAAACCAAACCAAATTTTTTGAGTGAATTGTTTATAACTTTGTAACAATGTTTGTAAACAGCACTTGAATTTTTCCAAAAACCATCTTAAGGTTATTCCAAATCGAATGACACCTCTTTCATATTTGTCGGAGGCGTAGGAAAAAGTTTGACTTAAAAAGGCTCAAATTATCATCGTACATGCTGAAATGTCAAACATGTTCGAGTAATTCAAACTTTTTAATTTGGAAGATGAATGCATAGAGCCCCGTAATTGGATTATGATAGGTCCACATAGCCTACCTTAATTATTTTCTTTCAATTACTGCATAACGTTTGTTCAATTTTAGTTACCGCAAACCTAACATATTCAAGGGTATACATTCTGGAGAACATCACTGTATAATGAATTATACGAGTCTCTCAAGACGAAAATATCTTGGGGCTTTCCATTGAAAGCGAACGGTTGTGGTAACCTGTGTATGGTGGAGTCTGGAAGTGGTTTCTTCGCAGGTTTCTGTGGTTTCGACACGGCACTTGGAACACCGGTAAATTTGCTTGGAGGTGGTGCCTGCGTTGGAAAACCTTGGAACGCGCCCGACCACTGATATATCGTGCTGGGTTTGCCGTTAGCAACGAAAGACATCGGCAAATTAACGAACTGAGAAACAGGCGAAGGCGCCGGTTGCGATACGTATCCTAATCCTGGGACAAACATGTAGGGTTGTGGTGGCAACCGAATGTAATATATCGGGGAGTTTATCGGTTGCTGCTGTACGAACGGTTTTCTCGGCTGAATAGTGCGGCTAATATCATTTTCTTCTGAAGACGGAGACGCATAATCGTTGTCAATTTTGAAGTTGTTGTAGTCAACTTCGGGTTGGAAGTAATCGAAGAAGTCCAGGTTTTTTCCCTCTCGCTGATTCTTTGTTTCTACTGGGGCACCTTCGATCAGTTCTAGGACCACGAAAGCGGCGAAGGATTGGAAAATTATCTTCATCTGAAAAATAAAAAAGAAGCTGTTACAAAATTGTCTTCGAGATATGTGATATAGTTGGCGAGAGGCATAAAAATTAGAAGTGGTTTGCGTTTGTGACGATTTTCTGCTTTCTAAAAAAATAGATCAAAGGTTTTGCATCAAATTTTGTGTAAAAATGGAGATAAGTNATTGTATGGCGAAACACGTGTTGCGTTTTTGTAAAACAATTTAGTGAAAATCTCACAATAAAGTGTTTTTGGAATACGTTAGTTATGGATTTTCATCAAGTATCGGCCGATTCCATCATATATTTCACCATCATCGCTGGTGTTCCCCAGGGATCCATATTGTCTCCAACCCTGTTTTCATTGTATATCAACGACTAGAAAAAAACTGAATCCAATATATTGCTTCGCTGACGACAGCACACTTGTCTCGTCATTTCATTTGGATGGTTGCATATCTTAATGACGATCTAGAAGTGATTTCATATGGGCGTGAAAGCAACCAGGTTCAAAACTGTGGAAAACTGTGTTCATGTGGAATAAACTTCCTAAGAACGTATTTCCAAATGGATTTAATCTCTCCACAGCCACCGCTCTGAAGGCGCCTTGATGGTTTTCCTGTAGTGCTTGTGTTTTGTCCTTAAAAAAACACTTGAAATGTTGACAGTGGCATACAGTGATTGTACTCTGAGTCAGAAGGTCGAGAAAATGTGAATGACGACGCTCGCCCTAGCACATCAACAACTGATGAAAATAATGAGAAACTGAAGAAAATTGGTATGAAGAATCGTCATACCACTATAAGAGAAGTTGCTGGGGATGTCGGAATATCGGTTGGCCCAAGCCATGCAATTTTTTTTGGTAATTTTGGGCATGAAGCGTGTGGCTGGATGCTGTGACTTGACAGCGGGTCTCAATCTGCTTACTCCCAAGTGGGAAACTAGCGAAAAAAACCTGGAGAGTGGGCAGATTGAGACCTCAGTGTAGTCATACTTTTTGAAAAATGGCTTTAAAGTCAAAACCAAAACGTTGAACAACTGAAAACACCAGACACGTTTAAACCCGGACTTCAGATTATCAGATTGCTGACCGCTGAATCCTTTCTGAACTTATATAGGGTAGACCGGGGACAATTGAAACATTTTTGCTTCTTGAATTTTTTTCTCTGCGGCTATCGCAAATTTCTTAATTATGACATGGGTAAAAGGGTTTTCTTGTTCCCTAAAAACTCCGAAACAATTCTTTTGAAAGAACTCCACGCAGGTAATTCAACATTACTTAATTTTTGATCACTGTTGATCATTTAGTAGTTTTCCAATTTGTGGTCCAACAAATATACCTTCCTTCAGCTTGGTATCACTAAATTTTTGAAAAGATATTCAAACGCATCACCTTCTTTGTCTAATGCTTATACATTTTTCATCAACTCCAGTTTAATGTGTAACGGAGGTAACAAAACGTTTTTGGGATTAACAAGAGGTATATTCTTCCCCTTAGCTCGACCTGGCCATTACTTGATGATGGCTCCGTGTTGCCCTACTGTTCCAAAGGCAAAGAAAACAGAAAAACTTCGTAAATCCGCCATGAAGACCTAGTAATAGTCCTACGACTTTAAGGTCATCACATATTTGCCACTTATACGTATTATAACTTATTGCATTTAGAATAAGTGACATACTTTCATGTGTTTCTTGCATGGCAACTGCATGTGCAAGAGGAATAGAGGGTCATTATGGAGCAGAACGGCCTTTAAACTTGTTTCAGACGAATCTATAAATAAACGTCATTCGTCCGTGTTATGTGCAAATTCTAATTTTTCCATCACACAATTTGGATTTACATAAATACACAGTTTATCCTGCATAGTAAAAAATGAGGATAGCTCATGGTTACGGTTCCTAAATATTATAACTTTGGTTTTAAGGGCTAGTAAATTCCATTGTCGTAATCTAGACCCTAATAGTTCAGCATTCTCTTTGGCAAGTGGAGGTCTGGAACTAGGTCATTTAATCCAGGTTGTTCGATTAAATGGGGTGTTCTTCCTTCACTTTCGGGAAAATAAGGACCGTCATTTTCTTGCACATTATGGAAACCTACCTGGTCATCATACATTTCCAAATCTTCCTCCCAATTTGCCGAAGGTGTTGGTAAACTGGTAAACCTTCTCCATGAAGAACCGGCCTTCTTGTAGAAGGGATATCCGGATATTCAATTTTGTGTTTGCCCTTTTTCGAAAAACCAGACACGTTTGTCATGCAAAAGTAACAGTCGTTGTAATGATTTGTTGGTTCTCTCCAAATCATTGGATTGCAAAAGGCATAGAGGAGCGTTTGCCATTTAACTAGTTACTTAGATTTGCTGCACAGGTTAGGCAACATACGTGAGGAACCCAATCCCGATCTTGATCACCAACAACTTCAAAATATATGGTACCTAAGCTACTCTGGTCATTTGATTAATTGGCCGTTTCTGTGATTTAGCAGTAAACTGACAACATATACAGCGAAAACTATCTGCGGGATTAACGCAGTCACGTTTCTATACTTTGGACATTTTTGTACTGTTGCGCATGTCGAGTTCAAATATGTGATATTGCGTTTACAGGAGTTAACTTATTTTATTCACAAAGATAACACTAATGCTAATACTCTGATTATTCGCGTGTTTGCTCACATCGCTTCTCTAATACTAACTCACCACTACTCGCGTTAAATCAATATTGATGATCCGATTGTCAACTTGCTACTTTTATAGCGGTTCCGTATTTCTGGTATTTTCTGAAGCGGCATTACAAGTCTCATATACAGCGGAAGCAGATTCGAATACTGAGCAGAGCCGATGTGTTGCCAGATTTCCAATTTCCTCAATTCAGGGAAAAAGCAAATTTGGAATGTCGTGTTCATTAAATTTTTGTGAAAAAAATTATAACTAAAAAATCTTACGTGTTAGGAAATTTTTACTATCATTTTCGCATTTAGGGATCAAAAATTAACAAAGAACTGCCTTTGGCATTACAGTCGTAAATTGTCTGTAAACTAGTGAGTGTAATTAATTTGGCATTTCTTTAATCTGAATGCTGTTTCAATGGAGAATGTTCCTCTATTTGGGTTATTACAGCAAATGCAAGTTTGAACAAAATAAGGTTGAGTTTAATTTATGAGTTTTTCAAATTCACTTCGAAAAGTATTCAAATTGATGTTTCCAATGTTGGGTTTTGATTTTTAAAGCGATTTGTTTCTAATTCACATATTGGCAACAGCGCCTATATCAACTTGAAATAATGTATACGTACCTAGATATTCTACTTTAAAGAAGGAAAATTATCTTCATAAATCAACAATTAACGCAAAATATAAATTATAGTTCAATACCACCTCCACAAGCCACATAAACAACAGTTGTTTTGTTATTTATTTATATAGAGGAAGATAGGTTAGGTGNTATTCGAAACTGGCTTGAACGTTTGAAGTTAATTTCATGAAGACTACCAGTCTTCAAGCACTAATAAGTAAGTTTTTATTCGAAGTAAATATAGAAATTTTTCTGAACTGTTAATACTTCAGGACAGCTATTCTTTATATCACCCGGTGAAAAGTATTCATGGTAGTTTTAAACCCTCGAACTTATTGAGAATGCTATTCATGCAACATTTATTGGGATAGGCGGTTCCACTCTAAAATAAAAGACAACTTTATATGGACTGAATGATTTTTAATAAATACAAAAATAAATATAACAATATTACTTTTCACTAATACATATATTTACAGGCGATAATTATTTCAGTCGATTCTAAAATGTTTAAAGTGAGCAATTGTCTTGATGTCCATATACTGCAACTGGTATTTTGTTATAGTACAGTCATCTGGGAGTTTTACCTCGAAAGTTTTTCAGGAGTTTTGAAAATGAGTGATTTATTAGATTTTGAAGTGTTTTTTTCGAATTTCTACTTTGCCACCTCGAATCTTTGCCACTCGCGACGCCATGATGGAAAAGCAGTTTCTTGACGATATCTCTTTTTCGAGTCATTTTTCGTAGAAAATATTCATATAAAAAATAAACTAGAGGAAATTTTCTACAATTTATGTTTTCGTAATTTTTTTCGTTAAGATCTTCTTGATGGGTCAGATGTTGCTGGTACATCGTCTTCAGTAACAATTGAGACGTCACTGGCCGAAATTTCTTGGGTATCATCTGCAATGGCATCATTATATTCTTTTTGAGTTTCTTCACTTCCAATTTCATCATTAGTTTGCTCGAAACCTGGTCCCCGTTTCTTCCTCTTCGTCGCTATCATGTGATGGGACAATTGGTGCATATAATGGGGCATTTTAACCCAGCTTTTCTGCATCCACAAGCTTTTTGACACCCTTTTTTACATTTACAAGAAATAAGTAAGCTTCAGTGTAGCATTCTTGTTTCTGTTCCATCCCCATTGCTCTGCATTTTTCATTCCCACACCATTGTTGAATCTGGTGATAGGTGCGAAACGAATGTTGTCTTGGCGCTGTTCTGTTGCAGTTAGCGACGCAATAATGAATTTACTTTTATATGCTGAACTTATGAAACGTTCATATATATAGCCGTTTAAAGACACGCTTTTCTTCTCCAGCTTAACGATGATCTCTGGATCAGCATTTGGATCTTCGAATGCCTCGATAAACTTTCTTAAATTTGGATTTTTTCGTAGCACATTAATAAATTTGATTTTTTCTTGATCGAAAAGAGCACATGTTGATCACAACCAATAAAGGCAAGCATGAATAAAATATGATTTGCGGCTGTTCTGTATATGATACTATCAGATGAATATATTTGTTGTGAAATTTTTTCTTTTCCTGGTTTAAGTATATAAAGTTTCTTAAATTTGGATTTTTTCGTAGCACATTAATAAATTTGATTTTTCCTTGATCGAAAAGAGCACATGTTGATCACAACCAATAAAGGCAAGCATGAATAAAATATGATTTGCGGCTGTTTTGTATATGATACTATCAGATGAATATATTTGTTGTGAAATTTTTTCTTTTCCTGGTTTAAGTATATACAGTTCAT